CTGATTTTATCGACTGGACGAGGCCACATGAAAATGTCAAATACCTCATCCCCCCCCCCCCCGCCCCACCCCATCCTCTTTCTTCGTTCATATCATATATAGGGACTCTATTCTTTTCGAGGCGGACAAGGACAGCTGTCTAGTCTTTCGGATGGGACGAAAAACCGAGGTCCCGTGTCCACATTCGCGTGGACGTAAAAGATCCCTTTGACAGATGGAATTCGATATAAGAGTAGGCCGTAGTGCCGCTGTCCGGGCAAAATTTCCCTCATAGCACAGTGTATGGCGTATGCCCGTCTTCATTAGCCCAGTTCCAAGCAGAACAGTAGGACGTTAAAACTCCATTTCATTTCTTTTCATTTCTTGAAACTAGTTGGGAAGCCCCCCGGTCTCTACCCCATGCCCCGGCTCCTTCAGCTATGTCTAAGAGCATGATTTGCTACCATATCATCTTAGCCCACTGCCACCGCTGCTTAATATTGAGCGACTTGTTTATTCGACTGAATTATTCGACTGAACTATTCGACTGAAGTATTCGACTGAACTATTCGACTGGTTTATTCGACTGAACTTTTCGACTGAATTATTCGACTGGTTTATTCGACTGGATTATTCGACTGAACTAACTGACTGATTTTATCGACTGGACGAGGCCACATGAAAATGTCAAATACCTCATCCCCCCCCACCCCCGCCCCACCCCATCCCCTTTCTTAGTTCATATCATATATAGGGACTCTATTCTTTTCGAGGCGGACAAGGACAGCTGTCTAGTCGTTCGGATGGGACAAAAAACCGAGGTCCCGTGTGCACATTGGCGTGGACGTAAAAGATCCCTTGACAGATGGAATTCGATATAAGAGTACGCCGTAGTGCCGCTGTCCGGGCAAAATTTCCCTCATCGCACAGTGTATGGCGTATGCCCGTCTTCATTAGCCCAGTTCCAAGCAGAACAGTAGGACGTTAAAACCCCATTTCATTTCTTTTCATTTCTTGAAACTAATTGGGAAGCCCCCCGGTCTCTACCCCATGCCCCGGCTCCTTCAGCTATGTCTAAGAGCATGATTTGCTACCATATCATCTTAGCCCACTGCCACCGCTGCTTAATATTGAGCGACTTGTTTATTCGACTGAATTATTCGACTGAAGTATTCGACTGAACTATTCGACTGGTTTATTCGACTGAACTTTTCGACTGAACTATTCGACTGGTTTATTCGACTGGATTATTCGACTGAACTAACTGACTGATTTTATCGACTGGACGAGGCCACATGAAAATGTCAAATACCTCATCCCCCCGCCCCACCCCATCCCCTTTCTTCGTTCATATCATATATAGGGACTCTATTCTTTTCGAGGCGGACAAGGACAGCTGTCTAGTCGTTCGGATGGGACGAAAAACCGAGGTCCCGTGTATACATTGGAGTGGACGTAAAAGATCCCTTTGACAGATGGAATACGATATAAGAGTAGACCGTAGTGCCGCTGTCCGGGCAAAATTTCCCTCATCGCACAGTGTATGGCGTCTGCCCGTCTTCATTAGCCCAGTTCCAAGCAGAACAGAAGGACGTTAAACCCCATTTCATTTTTTTTCATTTCTTGAAACTAGTTGGGAAGCCCCCCGGTCCCTACCCCATGCCCCCGGCTCCTTCAGCTATGGCTACGAGCATGATTTGCTACTATATTATCTTAGCCCGCTGCCACCGCTGCTTAATATTGAGCGACTTGTTTATTCGACTGAATTATTCGACTGAATTATTCGACTGGTTTATTCGACTGAACTTTTCGACTGGTTTATTCGACTGGATTATTCGACTGAACTAACTGACTGGTTTTATCGACTGGACGAGGCCACATGAAAATATCAAATACCTCATCCCCCCCCACCCCCGCCCCACCCCATCCCCTTTCTTCGTTTATATCATATATAGGGACTCTATTCTTTTCGAGGCGGACAAGGACAGGTGTCTAGTCTTTCGGATGGGACGAAAAACCGAGGTCCCGTGTATACATTGGAGTGGATGTAAAAGATCCCTTTGACAGATGGAATTCGATATAAGAGTACGCCGTAGTGCCGCTGTCCGGGCAAAATTTCCCTCATTGCACAGTGTATGGCGTATGCCCGTCTTCATTAGCCCAGTTCCAAGCAGAACAGTAGGACGTTAAAACCCCATTTCATTTCTTTTCATTTCTTGAAACTAATTGGGAAGCCCCCCGGTCTCTACCCCATGCCCCGGCTCCTTCAGCTATGTCTAAGAGCATGATTTGCTACCATATCATCTTAGCCCACTGCCACCGCTGCTTTATATTGAGCGACTTGTTTATTCGACTGAATTATTCGACTGGATTATTCGACTGAACTATTCGACTGAAGTATTCGACTGAACTATTCGACTGGTTTATTCGACTGAACTTTTCGACTGAACTATTCGACTGGTTTATTCGACTGGATTATTCGACTGAACTAACTGACTGATTTTATCGACTGGACGAGGCCACATGAAAATGTCAAATACCTCATCCCCCCCCCGCCCCACCCCATCCCCTTTCTTCGTTCATATCATATATAGGGACTCTATTCTTTTCGAGGCGGACAAGGACAGCTGTCTAGTCGTTCGGATGGGACGAAAAACCGAGGTCCCGTGTATACATTGGAGTGGACGTAAAAGATCCCTTTGACAGATGGAATTCGATATAAGAGTAGGCCGTAGTGCCGCTGTCCGGGCAAAATTTCCCTCATCGCACAGTGTATGGCGTCTGCCCGTCTTCATTAGCCCAGTTCCAAGCAGAACAGAAGGACGTTAAACCCCATTTCATTTCTTTTCATTTCTTGAAACTAGTTGGGAAGCCCCCCGGTCCCTACCCCATGCCCCCGGCTCCTTCAGCTATGGCTACGAGCATGATTTGCTACTATATTATCTTAGCCCGCTGCCACCGCTGCTTAATATTGAGCGACTTGTTTATTCGACTGAATTATTCGACTGGTTTATTCGACTGAACTTTTCGACTGGTTTATTCGACTGGATTATTCGACTGAACTAACTGACTGGTTTTATCGACTGGACGAGGCCACATGAAAATATCAAATACCTCATCCCCCCCACCCCCGCCCCACCCCATCCCCTTTCTTCGTTTATATCATATATAGGGACTCTATTCTTTTCGAGGCGGACAAGGACAGCTGTCTAGTCTTTCGGATGGGACGAAAAACCGAGGTCCCGTGTATACATTGGAGTGGATGTAAAAGATCCCTTTGACAGATGGAATTCGATATAAGAGTAGGCCGTAGTGCCGCTGTCCGGGCAAAATTTCCCTCATCGCACAGTGTATGGCGTCTGCCCGTCTTCATTAGCCCAGTTCCAAGCAGAACAGTAGGACGTTAAAACCCCATTTCATTTCTTTTCATTTCTTGAAACTAGTTGGGAAGCCCCCCGGTCCCTACCCCATGCCCCCGGCTCCTTCAGCTATGGCTACGAGCATGATTTGCTACTATATTATCTTAGCCCGCTGCCACCGCTGCTTAATATTGAGCGACTTGTTTATTCGACTGAATTATTCGACTGGATTATTCGACTGAATTATTCGACTGAACTATTCGACTGGTTTATTCGACTGAACTTTTCGACTGAATTATTCGACTGGTTTATTCGACTGGATTATTCGACTGAACTAACTGACTGGTTTTATCGACTGGACGAGGCCACATGAAAATGTCAAATACCTCATCCCCCCCACCCCCGCCCCACCCCATCCCCTTTCTTCGTTCATATCATATATAGGGACTCTATTCTTTTCGAGGCGGACAAGGACAGCTGTCTAGTCGTTCGGATGGGACGAAAAACCGAGGTCCCGTGTCCACATTGACGTGGTCGTAAAAGATCCCTTGACAGATGGAATTCGATATAAGAGTAGGCCGTAGTGCCGCTGTCCGGGCAAAATTTCCCTCATCGCACAGTGTATGGCGTTTGCCCGTCTTCATTAGCCCAGTTCCAAGCAGAACAGTAGGACGTTAAAACCCCATTTCATTTCTTTTCATTTCTTGAAACTAGTTGGGAAGCCCCCCAGTCTCTACCACATGCCCCGGCTCCTTCAGCTATGTCTAAGAGCATGATTTGCTACCATATCATCTTAGCCCACTGCCACCGCTGCTTAATATTGAGCGACTTGTTTATTCGACTGAATTATTCGACTGAAATATTCGACTGAACTATTCGACTGGTTTATTCGACTGAACTTTTCGACTGAATTATTCGACTGGTTTATTCGACTGGATTATTCGACTGAACTAACTGACTGATTTTATCGACTGGACGAGGCCACATGATAATGTCAAATACCTCATCCCCATCGCCCCCCTAACCCAACATATCATATATAGGGACTCTATTCTTTTGGAGGTGGACAAGGACAGATGTCTAGTCGTTCGGATGGGACGAAAAACCGAGGTCCCGTGTACACATTGGCGTGCACTTAAAAGATGGGGGCATATGGGGATGAGGGAAAAAGTCAAGCATGACTTTATTAAGCCGCGGTGGCAATAACTAAGATAACACCTTAAAGTTTTAATTTGAACAATCAAATTTGAACATGAGGGGACGTAAAAAATAAACAAAAACAATGATAAAAGATATTGGAATTAGTGCGTTTTTTCTTTAACTTATACAGATTACAAACGATTCCAAAATTTTAATAAGCCATCGACCGGTTTATTCGACTGACTATTTGTTTTGGACTTAGGGTCGACTCGCCCTTTAGACTCATGTCAGTCTGGAAAACTATGCCTATATCATGACGTCACGGGCACATGTTCCCACGCTATGGAGTCATCATTTTTGTATAAGCCAATAGCGAAGGTTTTCGCTGTTTACGAATTATTATCAATACATTTACCTCCAAACACTTTCTTATTTAGGCATATAGTTTTAGAATCACCCGTTTGATGTATTGATAAATATATTAAAAGAAATGAAAGATGGGAACAGTTTAACTATAAGGTCCATAGTTTAACGATAATGACAGCTCCCAAAATAGTCATATGACAACAAAATGGTGGTCGTCAAAGCGATGAAAATAACTACCTGCTTCGTTTTATTATGTTTGATAGAAATTACCACACAAGATCCAGTGCCTGTTGTCATCTGGCATGGCATGGGTACAGATATTATATCAATTTATGGAATTCATAGTTGGTGTGACTCCCATACAAGATCCTGTCCCTAACCTTAAATAAACGGGAGCATGGTCATTTCCTTGATCGCCCAATTTATATATAATTATAAATATTTACCGTGTCATTGTCACGCAAATAAGTTTAAAAAGTTATTTACTATAAAATTCAAAATTAAACTAACACTCACAATTTCAAGACACATGGGTCTGAAAAGGTTCCGTGATAATTAAGAATGTAGTTTTGGGAGATCTAAACCAAAATATACATTATAATTATAAAGATGATTATCATAATAATCATAACAGTTATAAAGTCCAGCTTAGCAACTGTGCAGAGTTGGTAGGGTTAGTAATTCAATATCTTTTGCCAGATAAAATAGAACAGTTTCTGCAATCAGACTAATTGCCCTGTTTTGCCTGTTTTCAGGAGACAGTTGCTGTAATCCAATAAGTATGGGATCTATAAAAAGTCTTATAGAGAAGCAAGTTCAAGGAATTTATGTTAAATCTCTTGAAATTGGTAATAATATTGCCGAGGTAAAAATAAATATTTTTGAAATGAAATAGGGTTTAACATCCTACTGTTCTGCTCCGACTGGGCTATTTTGTCGGGGAAATTTTGCCCGGACAGCAGCGTAACGGTCTACTCTTATATCAAATTCCAACTGCCAAGGAATCTTTTACAAGACTTTGGTATTTCTTCCCATCCGAACGACTATACGTTGTCTTTTGCCAGGCCCTGAGTCCTGCACCACTGACAAGGTGGAACCACATCGGAAAATCTCATGAACTTTCTTGGGCAATGCAGGAATCGAACACGGGACATCCCAATTAGCGAGCCATAGTCTTGCTCACTGGGTCACCATGGCTCCAAATATTTTTGAACTTTTAAGATCATTTGCCTGGTTAACAAATGTTGTTATATTTAGATGTAATGTCATTTTGTATAAGATATAAATAAATTCCTTTGTAAATATGAAAAAAGGATTCTGTAGTTCAGAACTGAGTTTATGTCTTTCAATAAACATAGAATATTCAGTAAGAAAATTCACTTTGAAATTTCTCACATGAAAAAAAAGAGGAATGTGGAAATAAGAATTTCTGGTTGTGAGATGAGAATTTTTGTGTTGACAGATTTCTTAATAGAATCAGTTTTGTATTTTCCCTATATCTTTTTTAGGATATGGAGAATGGATTTTTAATGAATGTCAACGATCAGGTTACTATGGCTTGTAAATTGATTAGTAATGATTCTAAATTACAAAATGGTTACAACTCAGTTGGGTTCTCTCAGGGTGGACAGTTTCTGTAAGTTTTGATCAGTGACAGTGTTATAAATAAATATTCAAATCTTCCTTTGTTTCGTTGTTCTTCAACATGTTGGTGTTTTAAGGGTTGACATTTAAAATCTTCAATTATATGAGACTGGTAAAACTATAATTACTTAAATTTTTGTATCTGTTTTTTTTTTTTTTTTTTTTTTTTTTAATGAATTGGTAGATCATTTTTAAAGAAATTACATTAATGAATAATTACATGTGGATGTATTTGATTTAGGCGAGCTGTGGCGCAGAGATGTCCAACACCACGCATGTTCAACTTGGTTTCTGTTGGTGGCCAGCACCAAGGTAAGAACTCTACCTTGTACTTCATATATAGGATACTTCAAGTAGGACATGGTTTCAAATATCTATGTAATGTGTACAGTCTGGTAAAAATAAAGTTCTAAATTTTGTTTTGCCCTTTATACATACCCCCGTATGTATGTATAGATCTGGACCATTTTAAGGTCATTGAACAAGATCTAATATCAACTGCAAGGAATACATTGCCAAATACTACAACTGTGTTTAGCCATGAAGTTTACCATGAAAAGAAAATCTGACACTTTTAGCTATTAATGCCCAAAATATAGCAAGTCTATGCATTGCATTAATAGGTTTTTCATCATTATGCGACTGATTGAAGCTCATCCCTATCAATGTGTGATAGATCCAAATATCAGACTATTATTGTCCCCCGCCTTTCGAAGAAAGCAGGGGACTATTAAAATGGGTTCGTCCGTCTGTCTGTCTGTCCGTCTGTCTGTCCGTCTGTCTGTCCGTCACACTTTTTGGGACACAATAACTCTCTTCCTAATTGAGCTAGAATGTTCAAACTTGGTGTATGTGTTTATTAGGTCAATGCCTTGATGGAGTTCGAAGATGAGCATTTTCCGCTTAGGGTAAGCAGAGATAAGCAATTTGATTGGTTGATGCTTTGGGACACGATAACTTTAGTTCTAATTAAGTGAGATTGATGAAACTTGGTGTATAGTTTCATTACAGTAATACCTTGACTAAGTTTGATAATGAGCATTTTCTGCTCAGGGTAAGCAGAGCGATACGCAATTTGATTGGTCGAGACTTTGGAAAACAATAACTCTCCTACTTTGATTGTCCCCCGCCTTTCGAAGAAAGCAGGGAACTATTAAAATGGGTTCGTCTGTCTGTCTGTTTGTCTGTCTGTCCGTTCCGCTTATGGTAAGCAGAGATAAACAATTTGATTGGTTGATCTTCGAATTGAGTAAATGTTCATGCTTATTGTCCCCCGCCTTTCGAAGAAAGCAGGGAACTATTAAAATGGGTTCGTCCGTCTGTCTGTTTGTCTGTCCGTTCCGCTTAGGGTAAGCAGAGATAAACAATTTGATTGGTTGATGCTTTGGGACACTATAACTTTAGTTCTAATTAAGTAGATAAACAATTTGATTGGTTGATGCTTTGGGACACTATAACTTTAGTTCTAATTAAGTGAGAGTGATGAAACTTGGTGTACAGTAATACCTTGACTAAGATCGATAATGAGCATTTTCTGCTCAGATTAAGCAGAGCGATAAGCAATTTGATTTGCTGAGACTTTGGAACACAATAACTCTCCTTCGAATTGAGTTAAAATGTTCAAAATTGGTGTGTATGCTTATTGTCCCCCGCCTTTCGAAGAAAGCAGGGGACTATTAAAATGGGTTCGTCCGTCGTCTGTTTGTCTGTCTGTCCGTCACACTCCTTCGAATTGAGTTAAAATGTTCAAAATTGGTGTGTATGCTTATTGTCCCCCGCCTTTCGAAGAAAGCAAGGGACTATTAAAATGGGTTCGTCCGTCTGTCTGTTTGTCTGTCTGTCCGTCACACTTTTTGGGACACAATAACTCTCCTCCCAATTGAGGTAGAAGGTTCAAACTTGGTGTAGGCCTTTATTAGGTCAATGCCTAGATGGAGTTCGAAGATGAACCTTTTCTGCGCAGGCTAAGCCGACATAAGTCATTTGATTGGTTGATGCTTTGGGACACGATAACTTTAGTTCTAATTAAGTGAGAGTGATCAAACTTGGTTTATAGTTTCATTACATGAATACCTCGATAATGAGCATTTTCTGCATAGGCCGAGATAAGCTATTTGATTGGTTGATGCTTTGGGGCACGATAACTTTAGTTCTAATTAGATGAACCTTTTCTGCGCAGGCTAAGCCGACATAAGTCATTTGATTGGTTGATGCTTTGGGACACGATAACTTTAGTTCTAATTAAGTGAGAGTGATCAAACTTGGTTTATAGTTTCATTACATGAATACCTCGATAATGAGCATTTTCTGCATAGGCCGAGATAAGCTATTTGATTGGTTGATGCTTTGGGGCACGATAACTTTAGTTCTAATTAAGTGAGAGTGATCAAACTTGGTTTATAGTTTCATTACATGAATACCTTGACTAAGTTCTGCCTTGACTAAGTTTTGCATAAGGCTAAGCCAAATAAGCTCGTTTATATAGTTTATGCTTTAGTTCTTGAAGAAGCTTTCCAATGTATTACCCCTGTAATTCCTCCTCTTTTATCTGTACAATATTTTCGAAAAAAATGAAACGAAATCCACTTATGTATACATTTAGGTTACATTATAGCCTACATGTCCCGACTCAACTTGCCACATTACATGTCATAATATTATAACCAGGTATTGATAAAAGCATCAATTGAGCAATTCCAATACAATCCAATACAATGAATATAGGCAAGGTAAATAAACAAATAAATGGAAAAAACAAATTGAAAAAGAAACTATTATAAAATAATTAAATATGTAGTATGCAATAATGAATTGACATTTAATGACAGAAAGAAAACAGTGAACTTTGCAGAACTTGCAGCAAGATGGAAAATAGACCCGTTGATACAACCAAACTCTAGATCTGTAGGCATAGAGCATGTTTTCCCCTTAATATGCTATAATTATTCCATCAAAAACATTGTATGCTTAGACTATAAGTAAAGATATACTGTTTGATTGTTCAATACTTTGTAAAAGATAATTTGTGATAAATTTATATGTGTCCTCTAATTATTTTCCTATTTTGGCGGGGGACATCAGCCTCACTGTTGGCTTGTTCAATATTAAAATCTCTAAAGGTCACTATAAGCAATGCCCGTTTAAACATTTCTTCAACAAGTATTTATTATTTGATATGCAATTTATTTTATAATCAGGTGTGTATGGTTTTCCCAAATGTCCAGGTGACAATAGCACCCTATGTAATATTGTAAGAAAACTTCTCAACTATGGTGCTTATGTAAGGTAGGTAAAGAGCCTTAAAAGAGAACAGTTGTCTTGATCAATAGTTTGATCAAATCAGATCAAAGACCATTTGACACAGGGTGGATGGCTGAATGGTTAGCATGCGTGCGCTGTATCATAAGGTCTGTCATTGAGTCAACTGGCATGGTTTCGATTCCTCGGTTGTACGTGACAAGGGGTAGGGTCGCCTGTCCAACCTCGTGGGTTTTCTCCGGGTTCTCCGGTTTCCTCCCACTGCTAAAGACCCCTACACGCAAGCAAATTATTGAAATAAAATTGAACCATGTGTTAATCCGGTTTCCTCCCACTTCTAAAGACCCCTATGCGCATGCGAATAATTGAAATAAAATTAAACCATATGTTAGTCCCGAAATGACCTAGCTTGTGTTGAGTGGACGTTAAACCCCATTTGTCTCTTTCTCAAGATCATTTGACATATTATGGAAAAATAATGTCGTCACGGTTAGGCCCGTTCATTTACTTACATGTAATTCAATCACGGTATCATGGAAACTAAACAGTTATAGGAGTGACGAATTTCAGTTTTTTCTATGTTTAATTTCAACAAAAAGTTATGTTATAATGGGTTTTGGTTTTTATTTTCAGCTTTGTACAAGATCAGTAAGTTAATAAAATATTTATTATAATCTAGAGATTACTATATTTTCTGGTGAAAATTTATTGAAAGATAACCAGATAACTCATCATAGCTCTTGAAAAATTTTCTGGTGAAAATTTATTGAAAGATAACCAGATAACTCATCATAGCTCTTGAAAAAATTTTCTGGTGAAAATTTATTGAAAGATAACCAGATAACTCATCATAGCTCTTGAAAAATTATTATGACTTACTGCAAGATACTGACCCCGTGGGCCTTTACATACATGGGAATCATAGTTTAAGTTATAAATAAAAATATTGATTGGTGAGCAAATTGGAAAGTGGTATTAAGCTGTTCAGAATGACTAGTTCATGTTCAAATAATAGTCACTATTTGCTAATAAGGCTATCCATATGGTAGGAAAAGGGCATCACCACTTTAAAGTATCATTTGATAGAATAGTCATGGGTATGGATCATACTGTTAATAGTAAACAAATTAAAAAATGTAAATAAAAGAAATAATGATATATTATTAAGTGTTGTATATATCTTATTTTGATAGTTTAGTACAAGCTGAATATTGGCAAGATCCTCTGAATCTAGATGAATATCGAAATAAGAGTGTTTTTCTGGCTGACATCAACCAGGAGAGAGTATGCTCTTTTTTAATCGATAATTTGATTAGATTTATTAAAAACTGTTACGGCTATTTAACTGAAGAACAAGTACAGACAATCTAAGGACCAGAAACCGAGTATGACATCATCGATGTCATATGAAAAATTGAAGTCTGTCCATCGATGCACATTTGTGCAAATAACAAGTATGCCAAGTTACATGTCGATCATACTTGAATTGGGTGGAGCTTTAGGCTTTGGATTTCATGTTGATCGTACTTTAATTGACGGAGCTTTGGGTTTCAGGTTTCATGTCGATCATACTTTAATTGGCAGAGCTTTAGGCTTCGGGTTTCATGTCGATCGTACTTGAATTGACGGAGTTTTAGGCTTTGGCTTTTTTCAAAGAGCTTTACTCCCAAGAAGAACATATTGAGTAGTATGGGGCCCAGTTCCTGGTTGAAAAACAAGCTCCAGTGTCCATTTATAAATCTTGTTTGGGCATATATTGTTTGGTGTACAATACTCGCTGCCCCTCAGAACCCTCTTAGCCTGATATTCAGGGGATGAAATAGAAAGGATCCAGGGTTAAGGACAGAGGGCATTTACATCAAGATCCCCAGCAAATGAAAATCAGTTATTTACCATAGAGAGAGAGAGAGAAATGGGGTTTAACGTCCACTCGACACAAACTAGGTCATTTCGGGACTAACATATGGTTTAATTTTATTTCAATAATTCGCATGCGCATAGGGGTCTTTAGCAGTGGGAGGAAACCAGAGGACCCGGAGAAAACCCAAGAGGTTGGACAGGCGACCCTACTCCTTGTCACGTACAACTGGGGATTCGAAACCATGCCAGTCGACTCAATGACAAACTTTATGATACAGCGCACGCACGCTAACCATTCAGCCATCCAACCCCCCTATTTACCATAGCAAAATTTTCTGTACTGTGGACTTATATTTTACTAATTCAGTGATTTCAGTGTATAACTTTCTAATTTTAGGGTGTACTTAATGATATATTTCATGTTTGTTTTCATTTTAGACCAAGAATCCTGTGTATAAAGAAAATTTACTGAAACTGAAAAATTTGGTGTTGGTTAAATTTCTTGAAGATACCATGGTTGACCCCAAGGAGAGCGAGGTAAGAAATACAATATTTTAAATCTTGTATTGCATATAAATTCTCATCCAATCTGATTAAAACACAGATCCAATTTCGTTTCGTTTTAATAGTTCAAAATTTCGATTTTACTTGTCTTCATTACACTTGGATCTGGAAGGCGGAAGCGTTGTTATTTAACTCGTGTTCTGCTTGAAATGAGGGGTCAGCCAATCAAATGGTCGTTGAATCGAGTGTTTGACCTTTTTTACGTGGAACTGTGGGTAGATATTAGCGGCAATAGAAATCAAAACAAAGCAAAAGTAGATAAAAAATACATGGCGGTCGCTAATTGGTTAATCGAATGATTGACGTAATCGGGTCAAATGTCGCTTGCTTGGTACCTGACGTCATAGAACGTGAACTCCCACTATAACTTGTTAGATCTACATGTAGTGTAGGCCTTCGAAAGTATAAAAAACGAAACGAAATATAGATCTATATTTTAATTAGATTGATTCTCATCATAATTAAATATACGGTAAATGTTTGACCAGTTGCATTCCTGAGAGTTCCATTGACTTCAGATCATAATGAAAGTGGAATGGATTGTGGTGAACTATGAATCCTACTTTGCCCGTACATGTATATCCCAGACATGTCCTATGTGATTTTTCTAACGTCCGACCAGGAATATGCCCAATCGGACATGAAGATATTGTGAATATATTCAAAATTCCAAAATATATTGAGTATATAGCTACTACTCATCTCAATTATCATTGATAATGGGCTGGATTGATTAGATAATTAAGTGATCAACCTATTTACTTAATCTGCCTTGATTAACAACTTAATCTGCTTTGATTAACAACTTAATCTGCCTTGATTAACAACTTAATCTGCCTTGATTAAATACTTAATCTACTTTGATTAAATACTTAATCTGACTTGATTAACTGACTTAAACCTTTGTCGGGCTATTCATCAAACCAATCCTGAAAAGAAGTTGTTGGTTCTCCTTTGACGGACTATTTATCAATCCATTAACAGTGAATAAAAACTTAATCCACATGATTACCTTGTGGTTTCTCCATTGTCAGACATTTTAATCTCCTCAATGTCAGCTGACAACATGTAGAAACTGGTCATAGATGTCAGTCATACGTCCGCCCCCCTGTGTTCGCTGGTTCTACTTTAATTTGCAATATGAACATGCTGTTGTCCATGGCAAATATAATGTGTGAGAATGATTGGGTATAAATTATGTCTTGAGTTTCTGAATAACGTACGTTTTTATATGTAACTTATTTTCAGTGGTTTGGATTCTATGTACCAGGTCAAGCTAAGAAACTGTTAAGTGTATTTGAAACACCTTTATATCAACAGGTAGGTTGTTTGATCACATTTTAACTACTCAGATATTTTTTTGTACTTTTTACCTTAAACATACATTATGGGAGATTAGATAGAGCTGGCAGTTAGTTCTCACTATAATAGTTAAAAACTAGATAATGCAATGGAAATTTGCTGAAAATTTCAGTCAGGTTGATTCCTTTTGAACCAAGAATTTAGCAATTGAATTTTTGGCCTAGCCGCGATCATCATTACTAAAGTCGGTATGATAAAAAACATAGTCTTGATTATCCATTTCATGATTAAATCATGAATGAAAGTTGAGCAGCAAATCGGATCCTAATCAGTAAATATCGCGGGCTAGCCATCCCATCGAGAGTTGATTATGGTCCGGACAAGTTAATTAATGCCTAATTATTAATTTAGATAACATTTCAGGTCTAAAGAAAGACGTGAAATAGGCAGATTTAGTTCTTGCATATTGTATGTTTAACCTGTTTTATAGTCTACATTGAATTGTGAGATGTAATGATTAACAGATTACAATATCAAAAAGTCAATAAATTTTTTCAATAATACATAACTAACTAGTCACCCTATCCGTCAGTTTATATCATAGCACACTGTATGGCGTATGCTCGTCTTCATTAGCCCAGTTTGGAGCAAAACAGTAGGACGTTAAACCCTATTTCATTTCATTTCATTTCCGTCAGTTTATATGGAGGCTATATATTCCATCCCAATTTCTTTAAATTTGAACACAGTATTTAAGGTGACAAGAAGAATATGCTTAATGATTTCAAACCATTTTAATAAATACTGCTAGAGTTATAGTCCTTGATTGCCTGTAAATTATACACAGTATTTATGTTTACGAGACACAGAATCCATCTGATTTTCAACAATTTTCAATATTGGTGCCAGAGATATGACCTTTGATTAATTTTAAAAATTTTGTGGAACCTTAAGATAAAATCAGACCGACATAAAATTTCCCAAAACTTGAAAAGCTATTAAAATTCACCATCTGATTATTGGTACAGTGTATATGTTTTGTATAATAAATGTATGTATTGGGAAGGACAAAAAAGGCCACCAAATTTTAATTTATTTATGGTATTTACTTAAGGGGTTGTTACTCTAGATCAATTTTTAGTATCTTGTAAATAATCCCACAACCTACAAAAGCATAATTTTTTGGGTGACAACACTTGTTGACTGTTAAGACAACTTAGCTGCTGTGGGCTTCATACTTTTCATTGACTAGAAACCTAGCTTCTGCAGGTGTCTACATTGTGCTAGCATAATCCTGACCCATGAAAATAATCATAATTCAAATGTATGTCTGGTTGATACTTAGCCTTTTTTTTTTGTGTATTTCAGGATTGGTTGGGATTGAAGAAATTAAATGAAACAGGACGACTTCATTTCTTAAGTTCTGACTCAGATCATCTGAGATTCACCGATGATTGGTTCATCAGCAACGTCATAAATAAATTCTTTAAATAATTCAACAAAACAATTTTATTACAGCTTAATGCTCCACAGATAATATTTTTTTTCTGGTTTTTAGAACAGCAAATACCTAAGTAACTTGGAACATTATTTTTGTTTGTTAGAACTACAGTGTAGTTTTGTATTGCTGTATGTGACAATTTATTTATTATACCATTAAAGCTTACATCAAAATTATATGTGATGGTCTTCTGCCGGCTTACATAATTATTAAATTGGCTTACATAGTTATTAAATCGACAATATTTATTAAACTTGTTGTAGAAGGTGACATTTTGTCCACATACACAGAAATAAACTGAAATGGGGTTTAACATCCTTCTTTTCTGCACCAACATACTGCACGCAGCGACCCATCTACGTCATACTTCCCAGAATGTGACACTGCACTGATTATCCGCCATTTAAAACGATCATGTGATTATTTTGGGGCGGGACTTATCGATTCGACACCGCTTTGTTTAGACAACAAAGTAAAAATAACCCACGCACGTGTGTTTTATGTAAACACGGCATGTCGCTGACACTTGTGTAAAAGCGATATATAATATGTGCTATGGGTAATATTGCAATAAACTCTTTACCATTGTAAACTGTCTTTAGAGTTTAAATCTGTTTATCTTTCAAAACAAGGTTAGATACTCCTAAATTTGTTTTCGCAAACAAAACCGCCTCTGTAAAATTATGTTTCATGGGCGCCGCCATATTGAATAATTAGAGGACTATTTTGTGATTCGGCTTTGATTAGTTTGACATCTTTCATACACACAGCGGCTAAATAAACATATTTAATTTCATTCAATATGACAATAGAAGAGAAATAAATACTTTTAAAATTTTCTAAAAGCATACTCAGTGTTTTCGACTAAAATCGTCGATGTAGGAATTTAAATGTCGGTTAATTAGCTTAGGGCCTATTCTCAGCCGGAGCTAGCTGTAGATAGGCAGCCTAAGTTTGGGATGCTGCACCAATTGGATAATGAAGATGAAGCATAGAACATGAGAAAAATAAAATAGTGCTTTCCTTCACTGATTAGTTGATTTAACAGTCCAGTAAACGTGTCAAAATGAATTGAGCAGGTCCTTAATAAAACTAATTTTTTATTTATGTTTTGTATTTCAGCAATGCAAAAGAGTAAAGTAATTTATTTTATGTAATATCAAAATATGTATATTGGTTACTCTTGTAAATATTGAAGTTTTTGTTACATTTTTTCTAAACATGGGTTCCATATTATTACCATGCAAGTTATTTTTTTTATGTTGCCTAAATATTTATCTAATAAAAATGTGTTCATGTAAATTGTACTTTATTATTTGTTATGCAAAATTTAAGCTTTATGAAATGAAATATCTCTATGTCAGGAATTAAAGGCTCTGGTTTCAAAATTTTGTCTACCAGGCAAGTTGATGCATGAGGGTGATGTCCCCACCTCAATCTCTAAATAAATAATACTCGTTAATTAATTGCTCATTTACCTTTTTGCAAAGCATCAAGCATTCTAATTGCTTCTGCTTAATTTGAGTAGAAAATGTTAATTATTGGTATCACTCCCAATTAATTAGAATCAGAGTATTGTTCTCCAAAGCATCGACAAACCAAATTGCTTATATGTCTAATGAACATCTACCTACCAAGTGTGAACATTCTACCTCCTAATTTTAGCAGCAGATTTATTGTACATGTATTCAAAAGAGAGTGACCAATCAAATTGCTTATCTCTGCTTCAACTAAGCAGAAAATGTTCTTCATCGAAATCAGTCTACACTAAGTTTCCTACCCCAATGAGAGTCGGGGGGTTGGATGGCCGAATGGTTAGCACGTGCTTGCTGTATCATACGGCCTGTCATTGAGTCAACTGGCGTGGTTTCGAATCCCCGGTTGTACGTGACAAGGAGTCCAGCCTCATGGGTTTTCTCCGGTTTCCTCCCACTGCTAAAGACCCCTACGCGCCAGCGAATTATTGAAATAAAATTAAACCTTATGTTAGTCCAGAAATGACCTAGTTTGTGTCAAATGGACGTTAAACCCCATTTCTCTCTCTCTCTCTCAATGAGAGTCATCGTGTTTTCCAGAGACTGTCAGAGAGTAATTATCTCACATACAGGCACTGATCATACATGTACATAATAGTAACATTCATGTTTGTTGATGGAGCATACAACATGTAATATTAGACTGGCCAGTTAAATATTTCCATTATAGATTACTTGATGTCCATTTCAAATTCAAATCCAAAACACCTATTTAGTAATGATTGGAATGAAATTTTATTTCAATTTTTTACATTTACAAGAAACAAAATCTTCATCGGATGAACAACTTTTACAAAAAAAAATGATTAATAATTATAACTTGTTAATAATCTATAATCAAATTCAGTTTTAATAAACCCACAAGGCTTTCAGCACTAAAGAATGATACAGAGTAAATTTCTTTTCTAAATAATACGGGCATGGCCACTTTTATAATAAATATTTTTAAATGACTGATGATAAAAAATAACTTGATGATGGAAAATGATGTCTTTTTCCATTCTTGTAATGACTGGGTCAGATTATTTAACATAAAATGTCTATTCATTCATATCCTTGGATGAGATGAGCTATTTCCCAATTAGTTTCTGGAACAACTGGACCATGAATGGCAGCTCCTGTTTTAGTTATAACAGCATATTGATATTTATTAAGTGAACGAGCGTCTCTATAATATAACAACTTCATACATCGTTGAATCAGTGCAATGGCTTCTTGTTCATTCATATTTGTATTTTTCTCCATTTCTTCTCGTAATATTGGTAGTGCAATGTGAGATCCAAATCCTGAAGAAATGGCAGGTGCTTCATACGCCACCCCAATTTTGTCAACGTAGCCTAAGAAGGGTTGTTCGTCTTGGTACCCTGCCACAACATAAACGTTCCACAGTGGATTGAATTTGGATCTTCTGTTGTACAACACCCTCGTCAGCCAAGAAAACATACTTTTAGGAGTGAAGCCAAATCCGTCATTCAGACATTCTTCATCTATGACACGTTGTTCAATAACGGAACTGAGAAATTGAAAATCTGCATAATCCCCTCCGCAACCGATCACTGTGGAATCGTTGATTTTACTCAGGCGAGAAATGTTTCTAAATCTTGCCAGGGATCCGTACGAACCGAGCATGTCGGCAGCGATGACAACACCACCATTGAACTTGAGTCCAAGGACTGACGTTCCAGTTACGATGGGATAAGCCGATCTCTGCGATTCTGAGGTATTTGAGTGTGTTGTTGAACTGTTTGGAAAGCTGTAAATACCTCCTGGTTGAGGTCCATTCTTCCAGAAAGGCGGTGGGTTACTAAAACAAGACATTCCAGCTTCCATGTTTAATGTCATTCTCCCACAATACACCAGCTTTCCACTTCCGTCTTACGTCTGGATTATCCAGTCGTATAAATTTACGTAGACATTCCCCACTGGACAATCGAGACATACCATTTGAACCCGAGTAATTCACATTTTATTGATAATTTCTGAATGAATTACTCGGGCGTTTTATTCCCAGGAACCACAGAACGTATGTTCTGATAAGGTCCATGGTTCTGACTGACCGTAATGACCTAGCCCCTTATGCTATCATTCATAAAATACTAGATCAATCCACAATAGATATCGAAAACAAATTTAGTGTGTGCTAAAGAGACTTGACCCTGCAGGTGAACAACATGAACAACAAAGTTGCGGCCGCCGTTGGGTCCATTTTATCCAAACTTTCATGATATTGTTTGCAATATATCACCCTGCCCTAGGTGGAAACGGACGTTAAACCCCAAGAGCGAACGAAAATATGATCATGATTCATCTTTTCAATTTCAGTGAGAATGATTGTAAAAATTTTCAATGCATGGGAAAACTATACTGACAATTCTTTAATAGTAAGTGCAGGGGGACTGCACCACACATAATTTACACAAAAACAAATGTGAAATATACGGACAAGACATATTACGCCGAAATCACAAACAAACGTACAATTCAAATAAAGTGAATGGATCCGGGGGCTAGCCGTGAGCGTCCACTGCACTTTACAGTCCCGGACCTGTAGGCAAGTGACACAGACTTCACTCAAATTTGAAAACAATCAGGAATAAAACCCAGAGAAACCATTGTGTAATGCCAGCATGGGTCATGATCTGCTATATGTTACAAGAAATATGAATGTAGGCCTAAGCATATTGTAGTAAAATTTAACTATACAAAGTAACCACATATATAGGTGGAATGTATAAAAAAAACCCCAGGTAGTCTAAAATTAAATGCTTTAAGTCAATTAAGAAACGTTTTAGTATTCAATAGAATCGAGGCATATTGAAATAGTAGGGTAAATGTTCCACCCATCACAAAAACAGAGCAAAAACCAAACAGTGCTGAATACAAGGAAGCAACAAGTGCAGTTTTCTCTAATTAGCCAACTTTTGTCTCAACTGCAGCTTATCCGAAAGGATAACTTGGATGTTGAGCAAATTAGATTAGGATCCTTGAAGAAATCTCATCTCCACTGAATTCTGAATATCCCCTTGCTTCCATCCAAATTTGAAAACAATTCTGTTAAAACGTATATTACCCTCTATCGGTTTTCGGCAAAGTCGGGATAACTTACTAGGAACGAAGGACTGGATTGTTGAATATTGATGGTCTCAATGTTTTAAGCCAAATAGGAAAAAGATCCATTACAAACTATTAGACCAGGAGCTCGGGGATCAAAACTAGTGTAGTAATATGGAGGGAAAGAATTTGTGCTTTGAAACATCTATGTAAAATAATATTAGGGTTTTGATTAATTATTCTCCATTGTCAAAATATTAGCTATATGGTATAAGTAAATTCTGAAACGCAAATTAAAATTGGCTATGAATATTGTGACAATAACCAGACATGGGGTTTAAAGACAAGTATGTAGAAATATGATACCTAGAACAATAACGTTATCTTTCAAATTATTGATTCTAACTTCATAACCGAAAATAGAGAAAGTATGCTGGCTGTTTAGATACGTTAACGCAGTTAGAGTTTAGTAAACATGATGGTCATTTGCATTTTTCAAGGATAAATTGTTATTGTTTGAAATACACGTGGTAGGAAAGTTACCATTTCATATTTGGCAAGAGTGACCAATCACATGATTAATTACATAATAATTAGCCAATAGAATAATTAATGGGTGTGAATCTGAGAATATATAATTAATAGAATGTGCGCTCTAGGGTAGACAGCCATGTAGTTCTCGTAGGGAGAAGATGTAGGGATCTCCATCAGCAGACTCACCGAGTCTGTATGAGAGCGGATTAGAAAGAATGACTTTATTATGCTTGTAACTTTGTAACCTATATGTAGCAGTGCTTAATATAAAATGTAGAAACGAAATGTGGTATTGTTGTTACTGTGTGCAACCATAAACTGAATGGCAGAAGAAATACACAATATTTAAAGTGGAGTCCTACAAGAAGAAAATAAGAAACAAATGCGGCCAGAGACAATACTAGACGATCATGGGCGGTTCCAGAATATGTAGTAAGAAACGATGCATGGGTAATACGTCGGATGTGGCGACCGGGTTTAGCGCTGACCACTCTCCACGTTTGACAAACGACCCATGGTGCTACACTAGCTGAAAAGTGTACCAATTTTTACCTATATGGTATCAATGCATGTATATCTGGTATCATTAGAATGTAAAATCTGCCGAGTTTCTGATAGTTGGTGTGGCTGTGGGGGTTGTGATTCTGGGCGTGAATTCTTGGGCTAGGATAGCTCAAAAGTGTACCAAATGAATATCGTACCTCACATCTTCAAGTATTATATAAAAAACACTTTGACATACATTTCTAGTGGTTGGGTACCCCCGACAGAGCTATGTAATTGCCAGACATTTATATTTATAGTGGTGGAGTATCCCTGGCAAGAGTTATCTAATTTCCAGATCATAGCTAGGCTAGATTAGCTGAAATCTGTATCACCTAAAACAGATTTTGGGAAAAAACCCATTTTATATGGCTAAAAATGCGTTTTTGAAAAAAAATTATTCCTGCAACCGCAGTTTATCGCATCTTTCATAGGTACTAGGTATTAGTATTCTAAGCCTACCCATCTGGCATAATTTTTATTTTTTTGGACCACGGGAACAGTGCCCGCTAATCTAGCCTAGATGGAAGCCGTAGCATTTTTGGCGTGTCTGTACGGTACACTGTTAATTTTCATGTGGTACACTTTTGAGCTAATCTAGCCCAAGAATTCACACCCAGAATCATCAGAAACCAGACAGACTTACATTCTAATGATACCATATAGGAGAATTTTTCAGCTAGGTTGACCCTCTGGACTCCCGCTCTATATAGCCCCTTTCACGTTCAAAAGGTTATTTGGAAAAGAGGCATAACTCCAGAAAGGAAAGTCCCTGAACTTTTTTTCTTCGTGTTGTTAATGAGCTTGAACAGTTACCTCTCTACTTGTATATTATCTGGTTCAGTTTTCATTTTTGAAGGATGGAGAAGAACTCTTATGATTGGTGCCTTGGTAAAGTTTAGAGTACCCATGTATTTAACCAATTAAACACCCCACCCCACTGGATTGGATGAATAATTTCAGACTGTTTATATGATTGGAAACACGTTTATCTAAACACTGGGGTAAAAAAGGAATATACGAATGTCCATTTGTTTTGCCCTTTTATTTGCTTGGAAATATTGAGTTTGGATGCATGAGACATGTCCAGTCTAGTTCTATCACATTTTGTTGATTCAAACAAAACTTAGTCATATCTTTAGTGTGTATACTTTCTTTTAGACATTAGTATATTTTCTAGGAATTCGATGAGATGAGACTTCTGACAGCTGCAAAACTATAACCAAATATGTAGTTCTAGACATTGGGCAAAAAAAAAAACCCTCTAATTGATCTATATCACTAGACATAATATCATCTATTCTAAACAATGGTATTTTCTTATATCCTTTATTTACATAATTACAATTTTCAATCAAATATAATTTAAAAACAGATGTGTACATATGGACAGACAATACACATATATTATGATATAAATACCAAGAACCATATTTACAGAACTTGTTACTGAAAAGTTTACAGAATACTTTAATAATGTTCGGAGTACCAAATATATCTTCAGGACAGAAAAATTTAGTACAAAAGCTAAACAACTCCAAATTCTACAATCTGGAGGACAATTGATTCAGTGACAAATGAATCAGTGATAAATACAGTTTTAGTGATATACAAATGTACATGTAGAAATGACTTATTTTATATTACTCAAACCAAGAGATTCATTCTTCTTTTCATCAAAAAGCTGTTTTTTTTGTTTTTTTTCGATTAGCCAACTGCAAACGAAAAGAAAAATGGCTTGACTACTCGAGTAGGTACCTAGTATTTGCAAGCGAGATTGACCTAAGAAATATTGTTAGACTCAGAGGGTAAATGTCCAATAAGTGAAATGGCCAATTTTCGGTGTTAGGATCAGTAACTAAATATGCATTCAGACAGCCAAATTTAGGGGCGAAAATTTTAATTTTTGAGCTGCAACGCAAGATTTTTTCTTCTAATTTTGAAATAAAAAGTTCAGGCTTTAAATATACAATAACAATATTTATACAAAATATGGAAACGTAACAAAACAATTATATATTCTTATAACATTCTCAAAATAGACTTATCTGTTTCAACGGTTTTCTATCAGATGTTTTCAAGAGGGCCATATTCTATCAAATAGGTATGACCCACCAAAACAGAGGTCAGGAAAGCCGAATTAGGACCAAATTGAAAATGTTTATAGCTTAACGCTCGGCCCTGTCTTAATAGTCTCATTCAGCAGTGAAAGTTAAACCAGTCCTGTGACCGACAAAACACTTGGAAATGGATGCCACTGGTATTCATATATCCACAGATCAACAGGGAACACCACATCCCACTCTGTCTATGTTCAATCAACATATTGTCTTTAACAACTAGATATTTCAAGATTTTTGGGAGATCAAAACGAATGTCTCAGCTATTCACTTTTTCCCTTTTCCAAATTTATCTCTGCGTTTCTTAACATGTTTAGGAGTTTTTTCTTTTCTTTTCTCCCGCCTTTCTTCTTTAATTGCCTTCTTCCTTTCCTGCAAAAACAATTTTTAACAGGCATAATAAAATTAAAGGTCAAATCAGCCTTGTAAAAAGCTTCACGTTTTGTTGAGTTGTTTTTTTTTTATCCGTAACAGTGCGATAATGAAGATATTTTGGTTATAAAAACTTCAAACGCTGCGACTATTACTATTTTTATCTATGCACCGTTCTACCACTGATATAACATTACATTATCCAGCCGGCTTAATTAGTGCAATTTTTTTTTTTTATAAGCAATATTTTATTCAGATTTGTATCTGAATAGGGATTGGGGAACAGGCATAGCCTATATTAAACCCTGTTTAATTAGTGCAATTGTAATGATCTCTAAATCTTGTCAGAATTAGTCTGTCCAAGACCAAAGAAATGAATGGAATTTAATGCTATGTCAACACAATACCCTCACTTGGCAGTACATTGGGAGTTCAAGAAAATTATATCAACAGATGTGTGTGTGGATGAGTCTGCTGGACATCCTCACCCCTTGCTTGTACAGAGCATATTTTCCCTCCTACATTCATCCAAATAATGTTGTGTAATGAATGGTAGGAAGCATTGCTGCCGTTTGGGCCTCATTCCATCCTATACATGTATGCATCTGAATGAGCAGAAATATTTTCTCCAAACCGATTTTATAAATTCCTTAGTAATCCCCAGAACACATTCTAAACTGAATGTTGTCTCCCTCATAATGCCTCCCTGCTCAAATCTCTGAACATGCCCCTGATTAACTCAAATTCAGTGGTCAAGTTTTGCAATAGCATATAGCCCCTCTCTTTACTTACCCGTCTGGCATTTGGTGATTCATCCCGTGGACGGAAATGCTGTTTTTTCTTCTTTCCTTCATCATTGTCGTCATCTGAAGACGAATCATCCAAACTGTCAGAATCAGACTGGAGGGTAGAGTCTATCACAGATTCTGATGCTATGGACGTCTGGTCATCACATTGGTTCTAAACGAGACAAATAGTGATGTTAAAGAAAAAACAAAATTTTGATAACTACTGTATATTTCATACTGAATACTGCATGTAATTCAAGTTCTAGCTTCAGTAACATGTCCAAAAACACTCCATTTACGCACTTTATGCTTTTGGAATGTGGTGTCTGTCTGGCGAATCAGTCTATGGTAGTAACACATTAACTGACTGCATAGGGTCATGGTTGACTTTTTAATACTTACATTAATATTTAGTCCTGTTAATTTCTGGTAAAGTATATTATCTCCCTGTCCACCAACAACTTTCTCATAATCCCTCTCAAAATGGAGTACATCTTCTAATGTCCTTGGAATAAAAGACTTTTTAAAAACCTTGAAAAAAAAAAAAAATTTCAAGAATTTATTTATGAAATATTGGGCTTAACAGGGAACTTAGAAGAGAAAAGGTACCGTTGACTACTGCCTCAAGACAACTTTTTTATTTAATGTCTCATAAAATTACATCAAGACTACATAAAAATAATTGCATAGGGACATCGTGAAGTAAACTGTTCTTATAGCAATTGGTAGTCTGAAATTTAAATCTAATAGTGCGCCTAAAATCCATCTACAATTTAAGTTGCTTAGTGACCATTTTCAAAAGATAATTGACATGTTCACTTTTTTTTGAAATTTTTGATATTTATGATCCTTATAAATTTCAAATAAACATCATATAAAAATTAAAGAGAAAAAATAAATCACCTCTTCGTCTATTTTTTCTTGGGCTGTTATGTCATCGATATTACGATTAGATGATGTTGTCATTGCTTTCTCCAAATAATCATCAATATTATCTATAGTTATGGAAACATCTGTTATAAAATCAAACAGTTCTTTAACTGTCATGGTAGAAACACCCAACTTCTTGAAATACTCTGAAATAAAGATAGGATAAAACATTATATACATCAGCTTAAAGACTTGGCACTTATGTCTGCAACCAATTGTCTCTGCTTTCATCAAGATACTGGACAAAATGAATCAGAAATTATTTCTATAAGTTTCTCAGATATATTTTAATCTTTCAGTTGTTTTGTTAATCAGAGTTGGATTGTATAAATCATCATAGAAACTCAATAAGCATAATATCTTATCTCAGGGTTACATCAAATGTCTATATATCTATTCAGTCATTATTCAAATCAATTGCTTTTATCTGTTGATTTTTTGAACATTTAGTTGATTACATTCAATTAATATCAGTATATGGGAGGCAAATAACAAGACCCAAATGCCATTGGTTTTAATTGACAAAGAAAATGATGAGTTACATAATCTTGAAAATCTATTTGGATTGAATTATTTGTGAGCATTAATTTGATCATATTTGGTTGACTCAAGAGAAAACATATATACTATTCAAAAAAAGTAGGGGATATTTGATTTTGGGGGCATAATACTAAAATATGCAAATGACTACGAAAAAAGTCACTATAGAACCTAACAGAAGAAACATTTCCAGTTACATGTGACGCCCAAACGCACCAATAGCTACCGCATGGAATGCAGGTGATGCTTGGGATCATCATGGGGGTCCAACCCAAGATTTGCACGACTCTGACTTTGAATGTTACAGTCATTGTGGCATTGAATTCCAGGGTGGAAACATCAGTTTAATTGTTTTAGTGACCAGAAAACAAATTTTGATATGCGTCGGCTTACCCAAAATGAAAGGTTACGTGCCCTTGGCATGCTACAGATCGGCACAACACAGGCGGTTGTGGCGTGGACAATGAATGTTTCTCAGTCTGTCATAAGCAGGCTATGGTCCAGATACCGTGATACACAATCTGTACAGGACAGACCACGCTCAGGTCGACCAAGGGCAACAACTCAAGCCCAGGATCGATTTATCCGTACCTTGGCCTTGAGAAATCGTGTCATCACAGCAAATCAGATCAGCGATCGTCTTCAAACAGACACTGGTGTGAGAGTGAGTGGCCCGACGTCCTCGCATGATCCCTTGTTTGAGAGATCATCACATTCAGGCAAGACGTCGTTGGTGTAGGGATCGTCAACACTGGGATAATCGACGCTGGAGCAATGTGATGTTTTCAGATGAGTCAAGGTTCACTGTTGATTTTTTGGACAGACGTAGGAGGGTGTGGCGTCGTCGAAACGAGCGCTTCCAAGACGTTAACGTCATCAGACATGATCGATTTGGGGGTGGTTCTGTTATGGTGTGGGGAGACATGTTGTTGCAGGGCGTGTTACAGGCCAGTACTACCGGGACAACATCTTGGCAGTCCATGTTGTGCCGTTCGCACGACGTCATGGCCGCCGTTTCATCTTCCAGGATGACAACGCAAGATGTCACAGGGCCAGGATCGTTACAGGTTACCTCCAACAACAGAACATCACCACATTACCTTGGCCAGCACTGAGTCCCGACCTCTCCCCCATCGAGCATGTCTGGGACATGCTTGGACAGAGGTTACGTAAACGTCAACAACGTCCTGCCAATGTCCAAGAACTTGCTGCTGCGTTGCAACAGGAATGGGACAATCTGGACCAAAATGACCTTAGACGTCTCATTAGGAGTATGCCACGTCGGATCAATGCTTGTTTGGCAAACAGAGGAGGATTTACCCGTTACTGACTTGGTTGTGATGCTGTGATAACTTTGCTGTTTGACCCCGGGTATCATTTTACCCTTATAATGGTCAGTCTGTGCCTTACTTAGTCTAACGATCATTTGGAATAAATCGATGAATGAACTTCATTTCATTTTGTCATTTGTTTCTTCGTCAGTTTCATTAGGTGACTTTAATAACACTTAAAAATCAAATATCCCCTACTTTTTTTGAATAGTATATATCCAGACAAACTTGGTAAAATTTATTATACTACTATGCCTAGCTCTTATGGATTATTTATGCTTCAAATCTTTTTTTACAAATACAAATCTAGGTCTTACAGTGCTAGACTTTGGTCCTCTTTTTATAAAAATTCAACAAATAATATGTAGGTTTTTAACATCCAAGTCTCGTCTGAGTAAGCTGTACTATTACGTAATATGTAATTCCAATATTTTTCTTTTACAACTAACGGACATCTAGGTGACCTAGACTATCCTGAGATGAAAACTACATGTGTTCAGTATTAAAATACTGTTGCCTATAAAATTTTAATACAAATCGCTTATCAAATATGCAGTACAAATTAACCAAACAATTATGGCCAATTTTAAAGTCAAATATTAATAGAATACTTTTTGTCCGTAACAATGCGATAATGAAGATATTTTGGTTATAAAAACTTCAAACGCTGCGACTATTACTATTTTTATCTATGCACCGTTCTACCACTGATATAACATTACATTATCCAGCCGGCTTAATTAGTGCAATCTTAGCAAACGAAAATATGGCCAAATGTCACTATCTTGTCACAACTTTGAAGAGTCTTGGCCTAACGAGGGCTCTTGTTGATCAACTTGTATTAAAGTGATCAGATAATTACATATAAAGAGATGAAAATAAACTTCTAAATAAGAAATATGACATGTACTTGTTTAACTTCCGTACAAGTTGTGAAATAAAACACTGTAAAGATACCTACCAGTGATATTTGTACAATCTTTACGTAGAAATTCTAGAGCATGTGGATGATCATGTTCTACCGATTGTGATACATCTATTACATAAACTGTACCTTGATGATATCTACAAAACAAAGTCATACTATAATGAAATTAAGTGGGGCTTCACATCCTAAAGTTCTGCACCAGCTGTGCTATGAGGGAAATTTTACTGGACAATGACACTATGGCCTACTCTTTTATTGAATTCCAATTGTCAACGGTTCTTTTACATGCACGCCAATGTGTACACAGGACCTCAAGTTTTCGTTCCATCTGAAAGACCATCATACTCTAAAATATGGTGAATTATTTCATTTTAATGATTAGGAATGCCAGACCAGGATCACTCATGACTACAATATGTTACAGGAAGAAAATCTGCAATGCCGCGAGACAAGTAGGACCCCAAGGTTATCAAAGACTTGTAACATGCAGAATCCAATTTTCTTCATATTCCATCTTGATTAAAATATCAAGCACTCAGAAATAAGCTCAGGTTTTTATCCTCAACAATGTTTAGGAGTTGGATCTCAATTTTCATCACAGTGCATTCAGTTGAATTTACTCATGATACAACACATTTAGGTATCTAAACATAACACTGAATGTACCACCACCAGCATCTTTGCAAATACAGAGAGCAAAGACGTCACAAAAATTTGGAATGTGCACAGATTTTATAACAGAGCAAGAAATCTTCATCAATTGGACATAGGCCAATTTCAGTAAAATTTGTGAAATAACGATTATCAAATTATGACTACCCAAATATACCCAGCACTTTGACCTTTATAGTGTGTAGAGTGTAGATGGTTTTAGTGATCAAAACTAACGTTGCCTAGAATAGTTTTGCAGCTCGCAATTTCGACAGGGGAAACAACTCTTGTAATGTTGATGTATCCCTCTTAATTAATATAAGGCACCTTATTTATGACTAGTTCAACAATTTCAGATAATTAATAAAATAAATCTCCAAATCTCTGCTGAGTGTTTTAACAAGAATTGTGACTAGTCAAGAGGAACAACAATATACTCCCACATAAATAATGTGTATTTTTTAAGGCTTGTGTTACAGTCTTTTTGTTAAACAAATTTGTCCTTTTAACTAAAATCCACATCTAGTGATGACAGAAGTAAATGCTAACAAATGAACGGAAAATTATCTCTAAATCATAACTGAAACATTTCAAAGCATTTCCTGTCAAATTCTCTCGTATGGATTCAATTTCTGTCAAGTCGAATCTAGATTTCATTTTGGAAAATTATGGAAATAAAATTAAACGTTTACCACCCCCCGCTTCTTTCTAGATCAAACCTTCGTTCTAGAAGTTATAGATATTAAGCTAGCTGAAGACAAATTGTGCTAAGGACGGATTAATGACCACAGCTGTTTTAACCCTATCAATTCAAGCCACTTGAACAAATGAAAATAATTAAGCACTCAGAAATAAGCTCAAGGTTTTATCCTCAACAGTGTTTAGGAGTTGGATCTCAATTTTCATCATAGTGCCTCCATTTGTAAATAGATTCCACAATCTTGCCAACAAATGACTGTTCAAGAAAAATAAACTTATTTAGAAATATCTTAGAATGTTCAAACTTATACTTACAATAAATTAAATTCACTGAGATCTGCATGTATTAGTCGACAATCATGATAAAGAGTTCTCATCATATGTAGAATATTAAGATACAATTCTCTAGCTTTAGATTCACTGATCTCGGCATCTTTTAACAGTGGTGCTGGCCTAAGGAGAATAAAACATTTACTTAAAATATCTTTCAAAACAGAAATTAATCAATTCCAGATTCTATGCATAGATAATGGTGTTCAGAGACCATCACATGATTTGAACACTTGCATCCGAACGAATAACCTATGGACAGATCTTGATCAACCTCCCAGTTCCATGGGTTGTTTAAATGCAAGTTTTGAAATTTTGAAACAGTCCCTTACCATGAGAAAGAAACTGAAGTTAAGAATAATTTGTAGATATTGATATGGTGTACTGTACAGCTTTGACAAGAAAATTTAGAGGAACCACCTGATGCAGGGGACGATAACACATATGAAAATTATTAATTGTGACTGCAATATAAAGAAAAGTTATCTTTTTCACGTACCAGCCATCTTGACCAATAAACTCCATGACTAGAACATGACTACGTAATAAAATAGGTTCTGGACATAAAATACCTGATTGATGTATTCTACAAAAGATAAAATTATTCAAATTAGTAATTGTTCATAAAAATAAAACATTCATTTACTTAAAAATTGAAAGCCGCAACAAGCAGTAATTCTTTTTTCCAAACCCTAGATCGCTTATTTGCTACTTTTCCAAATTCTGTGACAAATTTAATCTTTCATCATATCTTAAGTAAGCTTGTATTGAAAACATTTATTTTACATAGATTATCTGTAGGGCACACATACTATCATGACAGCCCAACTCTGGACAGCAGACCCTGTGGTGCCCTATAGTCTATTTAATCTAGCATGTCTTTTAATAGAGGTGAAGGTCATAAAACAATCACCTTGTTATACAGACTGTTTTACAACAGTCACTGACATGCACCAACTATGTTTCTTATTAACTAGACTTTTACGATAGCATTGTTTGAGAATACACCGCCAACTGGTTCCTAACAGAATTATAGAAATGAAATGGGGTCTAATGTCCTACTCCGAGCTGGGCTAATGAAGACGGGCATATAGTGTGCTATGAGGGAAATTTTGCCGGACAGCGGCACTACGGCCTGCTCTAATATCGAATTCCAACTCTCAAGGGATCTTTTACGTGCATGCCAATGTGTACACGGGACCTTATCCACTTAGCCACCATGACCTCTTACACAGAACTATAGTGAAGAACTACAGTATATCATATACAACTTTCTTCTTATAATCCAGATGTCGGATCCCAACAATACCATTCTAATGAAAACCTCCCTTCTTTACCACAATAAGTATTTCAGTTTAAGTCTATTAAGCCAATGTTTTCTTGAAAGCAGACAAGGTGGTGAACTTGTATTAACCAATGAAAAACTACATAAAACTTTTCACACCTGATTAAATTCCTCATTTCTTTCTCAGCCCAGGTACGTACCATTTTACGTGGATTGTGTTTACAGTAACCATGACGAAATCTGTAAAATAATTCATGTATAAAATTACCATTCTGTAAAAACCAATATGCCGGTGTAGCAACTCTATATGCTAAAGTTCTAGCTTGTAATAATTCAGACTGATATAATCAACCCTTGGAAACCGATATCATTCTAAACATAACTTTGACAAATAATTTGAATAAAAGATATAACATTTGAATAAATGCATATTATCTAGATCTGATAGAAAATAATTCATTTAAATATGATTACATCTGAAATCTAATTATAATCTAATTAATCACTTTATCAAACCCATTCTCATGATGAAAAAAATACTAACATTTGTTTCCAGATCCTGGGAAAACCCATGATATCTATCCTCCATACTTAAGAGGGATTAAATTTCCAATCTATAGCACGCACAGTACTTTTTACGCAAGTTTTTACAACCCTAGAGAAACAGGAATTTATAAACATACCTGAATTCACCAGATACATAACGATCTCTATCTTTAAAATGTAGAATGGACGTTTTATATACCTGTAAAAATATAATATTTTATTATTAATTACCATCACAATAGCTATCATTTAACACAGGTAACATGACAATGTCAACATTTATATCAAAATCAATAAGAGGGTTTCAACTGGGATTTATCGACTGATAAATTTCTAATTTCATGGTCTTTAGGGTAAATATTTCATTTATCGCCATGTCAATCCATATATTTTCATGGTCTTTAGGGTAAATATTTCATTTATCGCCATGTCAATCCATATATTTTGTTTAAAGAATGGAATGAAATGTCACATCCACGCAGAGAGAGATAGAGAAATGGGGCAGTTCAAGGTCCACTCGACATCAACTAGGCCATTTCAGGACTAACATATGGTTCAATTTAAGCCCAATAATTGCTTGCTCATTGGGATTTTTTAAGCAGTGGGAGGAAACCGAACAGGTGACACTTTTTCTTGTCACATACAAGCTGGGAATCGAAAGCATGCCACTTGATTCAATGACTGACCTAATGATCTGAAACGCAAATTGTAGACCATTCAGCCACCAACCCCACATATTTATAGCTTCTTATGACTTGTTTCAAACAACTAAACTGGCCCATAAGTTTATCTGGCCATCCAAATGATCTCAAATCCTGCCTTAATAATCAGCAACCAGTCATGGGAAAGTAACAAATTTAAATTTACCTTGACAGCTCGGTCAACTTCTGTTTTACTGGTAGCATGATAAACATTGGCTTCTTTCCCAGTACTGATACATCCATTTATTTCAGAAATTACACCTTTACTCAATAACTTAAATAAAATCATACGAGTTTTAGGATCCATCACTTGTTCAGCAGTAGCTCGATCAGCCTTGTCTTTACCACGAAATCTACAATACATAATATAATATATCACTGTATAAGGACCCTGGGACATACAATGTTTTCCTTAAAGATACATTACAGGAGATTTTAATAGATAGTTGGCCATTCTTGCTATAACAGTTCAAAAATAGATGATGGAAGAAGAATATATTGAAAATTTCAGTCAAATTACTTTATTCTGAACAAAGTTATCACCATTGTAATTTTTGACTAGAAATAGGAGTCAACTCTCTCTTCACCGTCTCCGAGAATGGCTGATCGTTTGATTGACAGGCTTTAACTCCACCTATATAATCTCAATTATCAATTAACGTTTTCAATGGCTGTGGTACCGTTTGAGACGGGGTTGCAAATTCAATTCGTATCACATTTATTTTTAAAACAAATTAAAAATAAGACTTTTAATATTTAGATAAGAAGCTAAAGTTTGAAAGGAATGGACCAAATCAATGAGGCATAATTATAGCCGACTTCTTGTTAGCCTGCGTGTACTCTTGTACTGTAACTGGTAGGCCTACGTAACTCCCAAAGCAGAGAAATTAGAAACAGTGTTCCAATGGGGCTGCAATTCAAATGGGGTGATGTTAGCTGCGATGTTTATCAATTTCCATAATTTTTCTGTAAACGCAAGTGACAAAAGAGCGTATCCAAACTCATTTTAACCACAACTAAACATAATATCAAGGCCGTATATATCGAACTTTCAATCAAATAGACTGACATGCGGTCCTCGCTCATCAGCCGCATCGCTTCGTACATTATCATTTAGCCTCGATCTAAAATTACGGGGAGTATGACGGCAATGTAATGGTTAATCTCCGGTTACGACGCCATTTAAAAATCAATGAAATCCTTTTTAAATCCAAGCCATCCGTGGATCTACAGAGTTGATTTTGTGCTTGTTGTGTAAATAAAGATCTAATTTATAATTTCTATGACATCTGAAGCCTAAATAAAGACTTACAATAATCAGATTTAGCTCTTGCATAATGTATGTTTAAGAAAATTTGACAAACATAGACCTTTAAATTTATATGAAATGAAATTAATCTTAGCTGTTGTATGTCTTAAGTGTACTTAATCTGCATCAAACTTCTGACTTTATTTTTGTAATAAAGTACCCACCTGTCAGATTCCATCTTCCTGCCAGAAACAGCCAGAGAATTAGCAGCAGATGTTGACATTTTAGGTCCATTGTATTTATCTAAATTTAAAAGTTACATTCTATCAAAATTCTGTAAACTTAACTGCAATCTTACGAAATACTATTTATTTTAATGGCAGTGGGAGGAAACCGGAGGACCCGGATAAAACCCAATAGGTTGGACAGGCGACCCTACTCCTTGTCACGTACAACCGGGGATTCGAAAACACGCCAGTTGACTCAATGACAGGCCGTATGATACAGCACGCACGTGCTAACCATTCGACCATCCAATCCCCCCACAGCTAGAAAGAGTAAAAGTGAACAAAAAAATATCCTGTTTTAATCAGATTGTTAATAACAGTGCGATAATGAAGATATTTTGGTTATAAAAACTTCAAACGCTGCGACTATTACTATTTTTATCTATGCACCGTTCTACCACTGATATAACATTACATTATCCAGCCGGCTTAATTAGTGCAATAGGCCTATTTGATTACAAGCATAATTTCATTCAAGAACTCTCCCACAAAACACTGATCCCTATTGATATTCAGAACAATCGACTTTTGTGGCCATACAATTATAGTGTGCATAAAGGAATACAATGTGTGCTTACCAACATTTATTTTATGGACAAATTTACTGAGCGCCTTTTCTGGTGGTTGATAACTGCTCTTCTGTTTTGTCTGGTGATTTGGTCGGTTATTCTAAAATCATATAATATTAATGTTTATCTTATGTTGGGTTCAAACTGCAAACAGATTAATTGAAAATTTCACAATGGCCGTTTTTGTTTCAGTTTAAAACTACCTTGTGCACAGATTTTTTTAAAATTATTGTACATGAATGGCCCACGCAATCATCTCCAGTCTAAATTAATCTTATTGTGTCATTTACCGTAATGCTAAAAGCACCAAAATTTAATTACAGATAGGTGCTTGTCATGCTGGCGGATATGCCCAACAGCGGCAATGTAATATGCTAGCTCCAATATTGTCATCAGGTCCAGCAGAGTCTTTAAAAACAAATTATGACCAACACATTCCATGGGGTACTTCCTTATATTTCAATGAGTAATCCCATAGTTCTAAAAACTTCTATAAAGGAATGCCATATTAGAATTACCTGATTAGAACTGAGATTACATGTTTTATGTTTTCGCGTGAAGTCATAGGACTCATTTGACCAATCAGCTTCCCATTCATCACTACTGCTATCATAATCATCATCTTGATATTCAACCTCTAAAAACAAAACAAAAACTCTTGAAAGTGTTTCATAGCCTTTAACTTATCAAATGAAATGGGTTTAACGTCCTACTGTTCTGCTCCACTGGGCTAATGAAGACGGGCATACGCCATACAGTGTGCTATGAGCGAATTTTTGTCCGGGCAACGTGCATTCCAATATATACACGGGACCTCGGTTTTTCGTCCCGTTACAAATATATCACACAAATGTTCAACAGTCTTTTAATTATTCATCCGAGTACGAAATGTCGCCAAACTAAGTCAGAAAAGTCGTCAAGTAAAGTCTGAACCGTTGTCAAGCTGAGTCCGAAATGACCCGGGACCAAAATGATGTGCTACCATTTTCATTTGTCGGACATAACTGATTTGATATTAGAGTTAAAATGGAAACAATTGAATGTAAATCAGTTTATATAAATTCATATTACATTATTATAGGTGTTGCGACCCATTTGTGTCAATTTCTAGGTCCCAAATATTAGCGATTTAGCTCCTTTAAAACTTTGACACTAGACCCCTAATAATAGTAATACCGCATTATATTTACCATTTCTGTCTGTCGTATTCTTCAAATTCTGCTCCACATTGGTTGTTCCATTTTGTAGGCTGGAAAATAAATATTGATGATTATTCGAAAACAGTACATTTGTTCTTAATCACAAACCTGTCCATAAATAAAAGTTTATTTTCCAAACATCCAGAACACGTGGTCTCGACTCTGGTACATTGCGCTCTGGCCCTATACATGTACCAAGAAAATGGAGTAACAATTTTAGAAAATTGGCCATTACCTAGCTGGATCAGCGTCGTCAAATTGGCCATCAACAAACTCCATAGTTGTCCTTGTATTTACGGAACAATCAACCACCCAAAAAAGATGAAAAATTCCCTTTTACACGACCAGCATTGCTCAACCACGAGGCCATCTTCAGCTATCGGAAGTGAGATCATATTAGCGCATGCCCAACGGCAACGGCCAACAAAAGTCGGCAAACCTCGGCAGATTCCGGTACCCTACGACAAAATAAAAATCTGCCGAGGTTTACCGAATGCGGCCAACAAAAAAAACGCTATTTAATCTTGATCACTCCAATCCATATTATTGTTTTAGACTGTCTAATCATAGATCGGTTCTATGGTCTAATACTGTCTCTGCTAGTAGTTTAGAGCACAGGCGGGAAATCAGACTTTTCGGGCAAACGCGTAAACTGAAAAGAAAAAATAATATCACCTAGTTGGCAAAACAATGTGCCCGAAATCTAATAGAATAGCCCATACTAATTTTACTTTTTTTTTCTAATGAATACCGCGAATGTGTAGCCTACCGAATCATACTATGGATTAAAGCATATGATTTTTTTCTAGAACCACTAATGCTTTGTGCGACATTATTCGTTCATCAATTATTAGTTGTGAATGCAGCTTCAACAGTCTGATTGGAATTCACGTCGGCACAGGGTGGGATTTCGGTTGAAAAACCATCAGGAGCTAGAATAGTACAAAAACGTTCGGGGAAGGAAGAGGCCCCCCATATAGGCCTACCCCACGACAAATAAATTCCTCGTTCACGTCTCCGTGGATTGTAAACTAGCCTATTTATTAATTGGCTGATTGGAATTTAGTTCAGCCAGCAAAGTTAGGCTATAATACATCACTTTGCAGTTGCTGTATTCACGGGTTGGAATTTTAGAAAAACGCGTTTTTTTTGTGGCCGTTAAATTTTGTTGTGTGTGTGTGTGTGTGTGTGTAGGGGGGTCGGGCACTCACTACACGGTCGTCTGTAAACAGGAATTATTTCGAGGATGTCCGGCCTGCCCCCTGACCCTAACACGCCTATGCAGTGACGCACCAACCCACCGCTTTGCATACTGTAACTGCTTTGTTCAGCTTATATATTAATTCAACTTATATATGTAAAATTTTTATGTTTATTTCCCCTCCAACTCTCCATTTGATCGAAAACCCCTATAATATATCTTGGAATATAAACTGGTTTACACAGGTTTAAGGGAAGCGAGGCCAGTGATTTGCTATCTCAGCCTCCAAGGAGGCTAGTCCATAAATATTCAAAGGGTCCCACTTTGATTATTTCTAGTATGCGCTTTATATATATATAGATAATGTGTTGCCCCTGGGCATATGCCCCCCCCCCCCTCAGTCCCCCCACCCCACCTTATGTGAGGTCCATGCTCGGGTTTCCTACCATTCAGTTCTATGGAATAGTCTTTAATTGAAAGATGCATATTTCTTGCAGCCCCATATATAAAATGTTTATACAACATCATCTTTATCCTTATTCTGTTGTGGCTGATTGGTATCATGTCGTGATGTCGTGGTGTAGCCCTTCATAAGGCGACAACCCGACAACACGACATTTTAACCCGACACTACAACCCGGCATTTTAACCCGACAATACGACATTTTCACCCGACACCACGACATTAAAACTGTCGTAATGTCGCGTAAAAATGTCATATTGTCGGGTTAAAATGTCGTGATGTCGGATTGTCGTGATGTCTGGTTGTCGGGTTATCGGCCATATTCCTCTAAATACTATGATTATGTTCCCGGGATTTTGCAGCGCGGTTTCTCTATGTCGGTAGTGCAGGACAAAGGGCCTGGCAAAGAACAGTGTCTAGCATTGTCGATAGGACAAAAAAAAAAACCTCTTGTGTATACATTGGCGTGTTCATAAAAGAATCCTTCACAGTTGAAATTCGATGAAGAAATGCCACGGTCCATTGGAATTTTCCATCATATCACTCTGCATAGCGTATGCCTATCTTCGGAAAAGTAGGAAAATGAAATGAAATGAAATGAAATGGGGTTTAACGTCCAACTGTTCTGCTCCGAGAGCCACAGCGGCAAAGTGAGTAAGACGCTGGCTCGCTAGCCTGGACGTTGCTGGTTCGCGCCCGGTGTTGGCCGAGAAAGTTCATCAATATTTTCCGGCGTGGTTTCCCTTGTCAGGGGTGCAGGAAGGAGGGCCTGGCAAGGACAGTTATCTAGTCGTTCGGATGGGACGAAAAACCGACGTCCCGTGTTAACATTGGCCTGCACGTAAAAGAACCCTTGGCAATTGGAATATAAGAGTAGGTCGTAGCGCCGCTGTCCGGGCAAAATGTCCCTCATAACACATGAATGGTGTAAGCCCAGTTCGGAGCATAAGAGTAGGACGTTAAAACCCATTTCATTTCATTTCGTTATAAAATAGGCACCCAGTACCTATAAATGATGTAATGTCAGTAAGATGTTAAACTTCATTTCGTTCTGCCCCGGCTGGGCTAATGAAGGTGGACATACCCTATACAGTGTACTATGAGGGAAATTTTACCCGGATAGCGGCGCTACGGCCTACTCTTATATTGAATTCCAACTGTCAGAGGGTCTTTTACGTGCACGGCAATATGTAAATGGGGCCTAGGTTTTTCGACTATACGTTATCCCTTGCCCCCCCCCCCGCCTGCACCACTGTCAAAGAGAAATCACTCCGGAAATGGGGTTTAATGTCTGGTAGTCACGGTGACTCAGTGAGTAAGACGTTGGCTCGCTAATGTTGAGATCTCGTGTTCAATCGCTGCGTTGGCGTGATTCCTCTTTACAGTGGTACAGGACGGAAGGTCTGGCAGGGGATAACGTATAGTCTTTTGGATGGGACGAAAAATCGAGGTTCCGTGTACATATTAGCGAGCACGTAAAAGACCCCCTGACAGTTTGAATTCAATATAAGAATAGGCCGTAGCATCCGGGCAAAGTTTCCCTCACTATACTGTATAGCGTATGCCCGTCTTCATTAGCCCAGAATAGTAAGACGTTAAACTCAATTTCATATCTTTCAATTTTCCTACTTTTCTGCACCAATTGGGCTATTGAAGATAGGCAGCATACGCTATGCAAAGTGCTATGACGGAAATTTTCAATGGACCGTGGCATTTCTTCATCGAAATTCAACTGTGAAGGATTCTTTTATGTGCACGCCAATGTGTACACAGGAGCTTGTTTTTTGTCCCTTCTACACAACTAGACAATGTACTTGGCAAGAACCTTTGTCCTGCACTACCGACAGGAAGAAACCACACTGCAAAATCCTGGGGAACTGTCCTGACCAACACCAGGATCAGTGTATATAATCATAGTATTGAGAGGGATATGGCCGATAACCGGTTTTGTTTCAGGAACTACTGTCTGGTTTATATATCTGTTTTTGCTATGCCTTCTGAGATAAGCGCGAAAGCTCCGAATTTTGTGACTGAGTTAAAATCTTGGTTTTTTTTTATGTGACGAATATGTCAACCACGTAGCATTGCTTCTGATTTGGTGTAATGTATCAATGATTTACTGACCCCTTTGTGTATACTAACCCAACCTCTCACTCACTCAGCGGGCTGCTCAGTGATAGGCGTATGTGTACATTATCTGAAAACGAGTCTTGCGGGTGTTTGTGTTTGTATACCCGTGGATTTGATGTTTGTTTTTAACTTGATGTGATTGTTCAGTTATCTACAAGTAACGTGTCGCCATTTTTGTAAACCAAGACCAACCTTTATACAATACAGGTGATGTGAGTGATAGATAAATGTTGGTATCTGTGGAAGTTCATGAACTCTCGCCATTTTGTACATTTCAGATGGGATAAGTCTGAATAAGCATGGAGTCACTTATCAGAACTGCATACCGCTGCTGGAAGACTTTGGCTTTCATTTTTCGTATGACCTTCTTTACTATCTACATGGCACTGACATGGGTTATTCCTCCTTTGGGGAGAGTACTAGATCATCATATGGATGGACTTTTGGAAGGGAGTCGAGTCAAAAAGGGAGATTATGAAAGTTCAATGTTTTCTTGGGGAATGCTGACGCTTGTGTTCCGTTCTAATTATCTAGACACCTTCAAACCGACCGAACTTCACGGAAAGGCAAAGGACACGACAGTATATTCAACAGATGGACAGCACAAACACTTTCTGTTAGATTACATGAAGAAGGGGCGACCTCTGGTGTTGAACTTTGGTAGTTGTACCTGACCCCCATTTATGGTAGAGTTACGGAATTTTAACAAATTAGTACGTAACTTTTCCAAAGAAGCAGACTTTTTAACGATTTATATCGAAGAAGCCCACCCCAATGACGAATGGCGATTTGATAACAACTATGACATATACCAACACGTGACGTTGGAAGACCGAGTCAAGGCTGCAAGATACTTATTGGAAGCTGGTGTGGAATCTCCCGTTGTTTTGGACAACGTTAATAACGAGGCAAGTGTAGTGTATAGTGGCTTACCAGAACGACTGTATATTATTTTGGATGGTGTTATTGTTTATGAAGGAGCCCTGGGTCCTTCTGGATACCATGTCAAAGATGTAGAAGACTGGTTGACGAAATACAAGGGAGAAGAAAGTAATGGCCGTGCATAGTTACTGTTACTAGGGGCTACGGATGTTTATTAATAGTTTAAAAAACTTATTATAGAATAACTGATATTATCTATGCATTATAATTTTTGTGTATGTTAAAATCTTGGGTTTTTTTTATGTGACGAATATGTCAACCACGTAGCATTGCTTCTGATTTGGTGTAATGTATCAAAGATTTACTGACCCCTTTGTGTATACTAACCCAACCTCTCACTCACTCAGCGGGCTGCTCAGTGATAGGCGTATGTGTACATTATCTGAAAACAGTCTTGCGGGTGTTTGTGTTTGTATACCCGTGGATTTGATGTTTGTTTTTAACTTGATGTGATTGTTCAGTTATCTACAAGTAACGTGTCGCCATTTTTGTAAACCAAGACCAACCTTTATACAATACAGGTGATGTGAGTGATAGATAAATGTTGGTATCTGTGGAAGTTCATGAACTCTCGCCATTTTGTACATTTCAGATGGGATAAGTCTGAATAAGCATGGAGTCACTTATCAGAACTGCATACCGCTGCTGGAAGACT